TACATTAAGTAGCGTTATGGGCCTATAGTTTTTCAGATCTTTCTATCGGCTTTCTTAAATAGTAATAGTGTTATTGCCTCGTTACATGTGGTGAGTATTTGTTTTGTGTTCAATATTTTATTCATTAGTACATAAATAACTTCCACTGTAGTTTTCCCCAATTTTTTAGCATTTTCACAGTTATTCCACCTTTCCAGGAGATTTGGTATTCTTAATTTCTTTTAGTGCATTTTTATTTCATTTTTACTGATTTGTTGTAGGTCAGAAAAGTTCTTTATTTTCAGTTGTAACTGATTACGGATTTCTTGGGTTGGTTTTTGTTCTGTTTTGTTTTTTGTGTTCTGCTTTAAACACTTCATGTTTCTATTTTTTTTTTCAATTGTTTTCTCTATCTTTTATTCCTGAACTCTCCTTTTACATTCCTTGATATTTTTTCTAATAATTTTGTTTATTTCTTTGTATTTTATTTCTGTCCCATTGTTCTAGTAATGTTCTTGTATTCATAAGAATCTTTGTTTCCTGGGATATAAAACTTTCTTTTTTTGTTGTTGTCTGTGCTTTACCCACTTTCATTAGAGTTTCAGTGAATATAACGTTTATTTTATCGATATGTGTGTGTTCTATTTTTTCCTTAGTCGGCAATATTTCCTTTATTTTCTCTTCGTACGTCTATGTTTCTTGTTTTAGTTTTTTCATGTCTAATTTCTGATTATTTTCCATTTTCTTTCTTGTTTCAAATCTACTATCAATGATTAGCTTGGCTCGGACTAGTCTATGGTCGCTACCAGTTGAAAAGCGATTTAGGGCTGTTACGTCTTTAACCATGGATATTTGCGTGGAAAAAATATAATCAATTTCGTTTTTAGTTTCATCATTGGGACTGATCCATGTTCATAATATCATATGTTCATTCCATAAAGAATGTATTCATTGCATGTAGTTGCTTCTCCTCCAAGTAATTCATCAATGTGTGTCCTTTATCTTTTTTTTTGCCGTATCCATGGTGTCCTACTTTGTCGTTTTCTTAATATAGTTGTTCTTCCGTTTTTGGCATTGAAGTCCCCGATTATTAGCGTTATTTAAAGAAATACGTACTGATCTAATAACAATAATTAAGTTTAATTTTAAAAGAACCAATCCTAGTAGTAAAGCTTCCTGTTGCAGGTATTAAAAGAAGACCACGTGGAAAACATCTTAGGACCAAGGATAAAAAGTTGTGTAACTTGCTAGTTTTGTATAGTACCTATTTATTTATAATGTACAGAAAAGTGTGTAAGACTGTACAATTGAGTAACTGTGAACTTTTTTTTAAACGTTATATTTTATATTTTTATGATAGGTAATGTGTCTAAGTCGTACATATCCAAGTTCATTTCTAAACGAATGTTGGTCAAATTGCTGTTTGTTTGCCCAATTTTTTATAAATACCCTATTGAGTGCAAATTTATTGATTATTTTTCACCTATAACTAAAAATACTCTTATTTTTTTAATAGTCCTATTAAAACGGTTTTTATTTTTTGTATGACGAAATTTATGTTTTTATTGGTTTTTTTTTTATGATTTTAAAAGGTTGGGGTATGGTTAGATTCAACGTCACCGTTTATGTCAAAATTTCATCACGTCACTAGTTGACGGTTAAAAGTGGTAAGACAGTAGAAACTGGTGGAATACCTATGGAGGTTTTGAAGATTTTAGGAGAGGAAGGGTTTGATATTTTCTGGCAATGTATGTAAGACATACGAGGAAGAAAGGATTTTGATGGGACTATGATGGTATCATCGTATAAAGATAAGGCGTATATTCAGGGCTGTCAAAACTATAGCAGGACAAAATTAATGTTAAACACAATGAAAATTTTGGAGAGAACTGTACAGCTTAATAATCAGTCACAATATGATTATAAAGGAGTATATCGGTAGAATTATTATCACTATTGAATTTAACCTTAAACATGGTATTATATATTTATATATATATATATATATATATATATATATATATATATATATATATATATTATATTAATATTATATATATATATATATATTATATATATATATATATATATATATATATATATATATATATATAATTTAGCTCTCCAGGCCTAGAAGGACCATGGCTTGGTTTACTATTCTTTTCCATTCTTTACTGTTTGTTGTTTTACTTTTCCAGTTTGGTATTTTAAGTTTCTCTATGTCTTTTCTTTCAATTTTTTCTTTCCTCTAATTCCATATTTGGTCTTTGTATTCATATACCATTTCATATTTTACCTCCAAATATGTTCCTGAGGACTTTTCTTTCCCATACTTGCAGCAGGACTTGGTCGGATTTGTTCATTGTCCATGTTTCACTGGCATATAATACAACAGGTCTTATTACTGTCTTATATATTTTTATCTTAGCCCTTCTAGATATGTTTTTGCTTCTTAATAAATTGTTTAGTGCAAAAATACAACGGTTACCGGCCATAATTCTCGCTTGGATTTCTTCCTTCATATTTGGTCTTCTCGTGAATGTCGCTCCTAAATACTGGAATATTTCTACTTCTTCGAATTTATATGTTTTTTCATTTGTTATTACTGTCAGATATTGTTCTTGTAGGTAATCTCTTTCTGTCCATTCCATATATTTGGTCTTTTCTCCATTTATGTACATCCCTTTCTAGCTCGCTTTCATTTCTAATCTTTTTGTTATTTCTTTTAATTCTTGCGTACTTCTGGCTATCAGTACAATGTCGTCAGCGAATGCTAAGCGTTGGTGTTTTCTTTGATATATAAGTCCTGACCTGTTGATTCCAGCTTCTCTGATGGCAACTTCGAGGACGATACTGAACAACAGCGATGACAGTGGGTCTCCTTGTCGCACCCTCTCACTGACCTCAAACTTATCTGTTTCTTCGCCATTTATTTTAACCCTATTTTCTGTTCTTCGTAGTGTCACTTTTACCATTCTTATCAGTTTTTCACTAATTCTTATTTCACGTAGTGCTTTGTATATTTCTTTGCGTTTTATCCTATCAAACGCTTGTTTAAAGTCGATGAATAGGGCCATTGTAGGTTTCCCATATTCGTAGCTTTCTGCTTGTATTTCGCGCAGTAGGGAAATTTGATTCACTATGCTGCGCCCTCTTCTGAATCCACATTAACATTCCCCTATATCAGTATCTATATTTTGAGATAGCTTATCTTTTATATATATTGCAAGTATTTTATATGCAACATTTAGTAGGGCTATTCCCCTGTAATTGTGGCATAAACTTTTTGTGTCACCTTTTTTGTGAAAAGGGTACAGTGTCGCTTCGGTCCATTCCTTCGGTAATTTTTCTTGTTCCCATATGTCTTTTAGCAACTTTTCCAAATGCTTAATTAGTACTGGTCCTCCATATTTAAACATTTCAGCTGTTAGTTCATCTCTTCCTGGGCTCTTATTATTCTTTAGTTTCTCTATTATTTCTTTTATTTCTTTTTCGTTAGGCGGTCTTTCCTCTATTCGTCCTTGATCGACATTTTCCTTCACTTCTTCTTCCTCTTCATATTCTGTTGTTGGTATTTCATTTAAAAGTTCTTCAAAGTATTCTTTCTATCTGCTCAATATTTCTTCGTCATTTACTAAATTTCTTTTACTTTTGTTTTTGTAGTGTACAGGTTGTCCTTGGTACCCCTTTTTCTCATTTTTCACCCCTTTATATAAGTTTTTAATTTCTCTATTTTTATAGCTATGTTCTATACATTTTAATTTATCTTCATTGTATTTTCTTTTCTTTGATCTTATTATTCTTTTGGCTCTTTTCCTTTGTTCATTGTATTTTCTCTCAATCTCTGTTGTTTTTTCTTGTATTATTTTCATTCCTAATTTATTTCGTTCATCTAGTTCCATTTTACATTCATCGTCGAACCATTCTTTGTATTCGTGTTTTATATTTCCATTACTGACCTGAGCTGCTTTGGTCATACATACTTTTATTTGCATCCACGTTTGTTCAATATCCCCACTTTCTTCAATATTATCTAATCCTCTACTGACTATTCTTTCATATTTATTTTGTTCCTCTTCTGTCAGTAGTCTCACAGGTTTGGTTGCTTTATACTTTTTCTTCCTCTGGTTTCTAAGCACTGGAATAAGTTGTTTCATTTGTATTCCAACTATAAAGTGATTTGAGTCTGCATCTGGACCTCTGTATGTTCTTATGTTCTTTATACATTTTTGCATATCTTTTTCGACAAGCACATGATCAATTTGGTTTATGGTTTTCCCATCCGGTGATCTCCACGTTCCTTGGTGTATTCTTTTGCGTTGGAAGTACGTGCTCATAATGATCATATTTCTTTCTTTCGCGAAATCAATTAGGAAGTGATCATTTTCGTTCGTTGCTTCATGCAAGCTGTATTTTCCTATGGTGGGTACATATATTTCTTCTTTTCCTATTTTTGCATTACTATCACCTAGCACTATTTTTACATCGTATTTGGGGATATTTTCGAATACTGTATCTATTTGATTATAAAAGCCTTTTTTATTTCTATACTTTTGTCTTCAGTCAGTGCATGTATATTTATAAATGATATTTTTTGGTATTTTCCTCTTATTCCTAATACACATATTCTCTCTGAAATTGGTTTGAAGTCAACGATTAGATCTTTCAGCTTTTTATTTACCACAAAGCCTATACCTAACATTCTATTTTCTCCCTCGCTGTTGAAAAATAAATAGTCGTTTATTTCCATTGAGTTTTGCCCTAATTGCTTTGTTTCTTGTAGTGCTACTATTTCGAACTTGTATTTTTTGCATTCGTCGGTTATGTGTTTTAGTTTTCCTTCCTCTTACGTTCCTCTTACATTCCATGTCCCTACTAATATAGGGACATGGAATGTAAGGCAGTAATTTCCTTCTCTAATTGGCCTATTTGTTTAATAGCTTTTTCGTTTGTTTCTCGCAACTTTCTTATTTCATCTTTGTAGTCGCGTTGTTGATCTTTTAGTTCTGTAATTTCCCTCTTTAGTTGCGTAATTTCGTCTCGTGATCTATATTGTTCTTTTTTATGTCTTTTACATCCAATTCTAATTCTTTCATCATTTTCATCGTTTGATCGATTCTACTTGTGTTTTCTTCTTCTCTTTTTTGTGGGGTTCTCAGTGTTTTTTTTGATCTCCTGGAGTAATATTCATCATCTTCTCTCCTCCTTTTTCCTTCATCAGTTAACTCCTCATCTGAATTCATTGTTATTTATTTATAGTAATTTTCTGTGCTAGGGTTATTAGTCACTGCGTCACAGGTGCAGTTGCGCGAAAACTCTACTCAATTCAAATTTCCGCCCACACCCGCGCTGGCTGTGTCCAATACTCCAACACTTTTATTCCTAAAACTCAGAAGCAGGCCCTGACTCTATATTTATATTGTTTGTATCAAATCTACTATTATTAGATACTATTAAAACTAAAATTCTGCTTACTTACGATTTCCTGTTGTATTGTTTACTTAATTATCTGACTAATGATCTTAAAAGCCAACCGATAAATATTTCTTAACTTTTTGTCACTTTGTCTAAATCTAATTTCCTTATCAATGCTACATTCACTATTTTAATTAAATTACGTTTTTTTTTTTCAAAGTAGACGAATCGAAAGTTCTTTTTTATAAACACTTATCTATATTTTACTCTAATCACTTGCATTAATTATTTGACTTCCGACACCGTGAAAGGTCCGATATGCGAATTTATTTTCGTCGATGTCGTTGTCTGCAGGTGTGTTCGCTTTGGCTAAACTCAAACTCCGCTAAAAAGCTAACATGGTATTGCTACAGTTATTTTGTTTTTATTTATATTTAGATATAAATCTCTTTAAAATTAAAATATTTCCCAAACTTTGACTAGTTTACTGCATGTTAATTATTTTGTTGTAATCTTATTTTTATTTATTACAAAAAAATATAATTAAAATTGTGAGTTTTACCTATAATTCTATATAACGGAATGCAAAAGAGCTTAAAATTTTTATCAAGTCGTTTACGAATAATGGAAAAGAGAAAAAACAGCTCCGTTTTAATTTTCCGTAGAGTTATAATTCAAAATTCGATATAGAATCAACAAAGATGATTTGCGCGTTTCCTCCAATTACTTGCATCTTTAAAAGCAACGCGAACAAAGAAGTTAAAAAGAAAGGGACTACTGGAAATACAATATAGATGCCTTTCCTGTTAGCCGCCTTTAGTTTCCAACAGGAGCGTAACGGTAAAACCTTTATTAAGATTGTTTTTTAAATTTTTAATAATCTATACCTGCTTCTTCTCTCTTTTCATACTTCTTCCTCTGTTATTGCAATTGTAAAATTAAAAGCTTTGTTCCGTTTTTAATTCGACAATCACTATAGATTTAAAAATACACATGTATAAATGTTTTGCAAAAAAATCATACTTTACTAAAATAAAATACTAATAAGGTTTAATTGAACAACTTCTCCTCCTGTTTGTTACAAAACGTACATATTCCAATATACGTTGGGATCAGCTAAATAAATTGTGCTCTTACTAACAGGATTTTGATAAACAATTATTAAATAAAAATAGAAACGAACTATATAACTACTGCAATACAAATAAGGGTCAAGTAGTCGTCCAAGCGAAAAAATATTTTAAAAAACTTTTTTTTCCAACAAATTTTACAAATCAATTTTTTTTATTTTTTGGATTATTTTGAATAAACTTGACTTCTTGAATTTTTCTGTAAACTGGATTGTTTTCGAGTTATAATAATTTTAAAACTAAAAAAAACGCAAAATTATAATTTTTAAGGCTCAAAATCACAAGTAAAAAACAATATCTTTTAATTCACCAAGGACGTAAATTTAAGTTCAAACCTTGTTCTTTCATTTATCGATAAGTATGTTGGGCCAACAAAAAAAAACATACTTATTATCACCGGAGATTTTAATACAAAAATAGGGCGGCGAATACCAAGCCACTCAGATTACATAGAAAATTTCGGTCTAGGTAACAGAAATACCAGAAGAGAGACATTAACAAATTACGTAACCACCGAAAAAATGTTTTGCCTATACAGGTTCTATAAAAAACAAATACAAAAAAAGTGGACATGGTGTAGCCCTGTCGGCTAAGAATGAAGTAGATTTTATCCTTTCCAGTGATAGACCAATATGTAAAAACATCGAGGTGCTGAACAAATTTAACACTGGCAGTGACCATAGACTAGTTTGTGCCGCTATACGTATTACCGTATAGAGAGAAATACAAAAACTACTAACAACAAACCATTTACCGACGGCAGACATTCGAGCCAGTAATAAAGAGAAATACCAAGAGGAATTGGCACGGAAACTAGTAGCAAATACCTTTGAACATAAGAATATAGATAAACTAGCTGAGAAATTAACAACTTAAGACATACAAACAGTCAATAAGAAACTTTGTTGCAGAATAAGAAAACAAAAAGAAGCTAAACTAACACCCGAGACTCTAGAACAAATAGAGAGAAGAAGAAGAACGAACAAAGATAACCCGGACTATTAAGCGCTCAACAGAAGCGTTAAGAAAAATAGTTTACTATTCCGAACCCCGATATATACATCATAAATAATAACATCAGAAATTAGAGCCGCCCTAAAACAAATGAAAAATGGGAAAACAACAGGAGAAAATAAAATTACTTCAGAGATGCTAAAAATGGAAGGCATTGCATTAGAAGAGGCAATGAGAGCATTACTGAAAAAATGACTATTGGAAGGACAAATATCAAAAGCATGGAAAAATGCGGAAGTTATTCTAGTCTATAAAAAAGGAGACGCAGCAAATATAGAAGACTACCGACCAATAAGCTTATTGTCACACGTTTACAAACTACTAACCCGAATAATAACAAATAGACTGACAGTTAAGCTAGATGCATACCAACCAGTGAAGCAAGCAGGCTTTCGTAAGAGTTTTAGCACTATCGATCACTTGCAAACAATTCGGACAGTTATTGAAAAAACAATAGAGTACAACATACCGCTACATCTGGCATTTGTCGATTATCACAAAGCATTCAACAGTATTGAGAAATGGGCTTTCTTAGCAACATTAGACGATGCCAGAGTAGACTCAAGATATGCTGCCCTCCTTAAAAATATATACGATGATGCTACTTTTCACGTAAAAATAGATGATGATCTGGAAACTATGAAATAGATATTGGCAAAGGTGTAAGACAGAGCGACACCATCTTACTCAAGTTATTTACTTTGGCATTAGATAATGTCTTCAAAAAACTAAATTGGGCCGAAAAGGGATTAAAAATAGATGAAGTATATCTTAACCATTTCCGTTTCGCATACGACATAGTAGTAATAAGCACATATATGCATGAACTAAAATCAATGCTACAAGATTTAAATCACAAAGCGAATCAAATAGAATTAAAAATGAATCTCGACAAATCAAAGATATTAAGCAACAGCATAGAAAACATCACGATATATATTGTTATGATTGTTTATCTTGACTTTGATTTTACTTTATTGAGCCAATCAAAAAATATAACTTAATTGTTATCAAATGAAAAATAAAACTCCTTATATTACCTGTGTACGATGGATTCAAAGATTTTCTTGTCGTTCTTTATCGGGATAGAGAAAAAGGATAATAATAAACGAGAATAGTATATTACAAAAAATTAAGTATTCTTTATTTTATATGAAAAAGAATAAAAGAATTATCAAATTCTGTCGTTATCTTATCAATCAGCATACAAGACATTAAATGAAATTTTAATAATAATAAGATTTTAAATCTACATACATTTATTTTAAGTGAAAACCAATTTTACTTAAACTTTCCTTTACTTGAAACAAAAAAACAACAAAAATTTTAACCTGTTGATTACTCTAACAAAACTCAGTTCTTTAAATTTGAATAATAATGATCATGATGTCAACACAGATCCTTCACAGATACCAATTTCAATTGTACAAAACATTTACAGCTTTTTTTCTTATTGAATTGTATGTTGGAACATACCTAGAAAAGTCCAGTCTCCTCAACGATGTGATCTTTCCTCTTTGGCACCTTGGCTCCTTCCTAACGTCCCTGCAAACCTCCTGCAGACTACCCAAAAACACCTGATTCACTTCTCCAAAAAACTCAGCTACTTATGTATGACACAAGGACCTCCTTTTGTCAACTTGATGCCGTAAAACTACTTTCACATATACTTCAGAAAATGCCCACGGTAGATACACGGACCACTTCTAACCTACTTATTATCTCTTTCTGCAAAACTATTCACTTCTTTTCAAAATGCCGGTATCCAAACTTACGAACCACACCCTATCTTTAAACAAACGACTGTTTCCTTCGATGGCCAAATTACAACTGCCTCGCTCCCGATCTCCTAATCAGGCTAACCCCATTACCATTCAAAAACGACTATCCAATCAAAAAGCTCAAATCTTGTTTACTACTTTTAATGTTTATTCTAAAACTTCTGTGTATCATTTGGTAAAACCAAATTACTGTTTCAGAGAAAGAATAAAAAAAATTGATTTTTTTGTCCTGTCTGTTAATACACAATTTATACCTGTTTCCAAAGATTAGAATATGGTCATTTAATACACAAGCAATGACAAGATTAACTTTCAGGTAAAATGTCTTCTAATTCTACACAAAATGTGTTTTTCGATAATTTTGTTGGACACGGACAAAGTCGTTTTTATTCCGATGGATCTTTTTATTAATTTTTTTCTTTGGTTGGGAAAGAAAAAGTATGACAATATATATATATATATATATATATATATATATATATATATATATATATATATATATATATATATATATATATATATATATATATATATATATATATATCGCAAAAAGGAATACGATCGTCAATCCAATATATATAAGGATCACTCAGACGAGTGGTGGGTTCTTATATCGGTCTCAAGGTGGAGAAGACTTTGTCTTTTATTTCTCCACCTTACACCATACACCAGTAAAACATGCCATCAATCAAGTTTTACTATTTTTACAACAAATTTTAAAAATTTTATGATGTATTATGTCCATAATTGTATATTTTAATGTGTGGTATAAATGTTAAGTGTAAATGTTTACAAAAATAATCTCAACGATTATGTCTTGAAAAAGGAATAAAACCATTCCGAAAGCTCGACAAAAAGTCAAAAGAGTGTTTTTTTAACATCCCGGCCAAGATTCTGACTGCA